ATATGTTGAATGTGAATTTGTTACTGAATGACCTCAGTAATAGAGCTTAAAATAGGAGAAAAAGAAATAGATTAAAATAAGAAAGGAAAAAAAAACGGGACATAAGTGCTTTAGGGGCTTTAGAAGTGTGAGAAATATATCATTATTCTTTTTCAAAAAAAAAAAAAAAAAAAAAAAAAAAAAAAACATTTCTTACTTTTCTATTATATAGCGTCCAAAACATTCAAATTTGCCTGACTCGTGCCTAAACTTTCATAATTACAAACATCATATGAAAAATATCAATTGATATCATTTTTTTAATAAGTTTGGTGTGAGATAGATAAATTCATGAGTATTGGGCAATATGTATTTAATTTTTCCCAAAAAAAATTCATTTACATGTCACTGATTTTATATTTATAATTTATATTAGTTATATTGCAAAGTATTGATAATGCTCTTTAAATTTTCTATTATGGGTCAGTTATCATAACTATCAAAATGATTATTATCATAATTGAATTATTACTTGGTAAATCTCTGTCTTGCTTACTTCTAATTCGAGAGTCATTGGTTTATTCATTCAGTCGATCTTTTTGGCACGATCGACTCGATTAAGGCTGTCAAAAAAGCTCGTTGCTCGCGAATAACTTGTGTTCGGCTCGTTAAGTAGCTCATATTCGGCTCGTTCGTTAAGTAAACGAGTCGACACGAACATGTTTTTAAAGCTTGAATTATAAACGAGCCGAACACGAACAACTCTTTGTTCATTCGTGTTCGACTCATTTTAGATCGAAATTAAAAAAAATTAATAATTATTTATATAATAATATATTACATATATTATTTATATAAAAATATATTATATATATTTATATCTAAATTTAAAATATAACATCTCATGTGGGGATGTGGTTAGTGTCTTATTTTGCATACATTTGGTCCAGGTTCGAATCTCACACATTACATCTATTTTTTTCAATTTAAATTTTCTGAGTCAATTTCGAGCCGAACACGAATATTTAAATCGAGTCGAACACAAACACACTGTTCATCGACCAATCGACCAATTTCGAACCCGAGCCAAGCCCCCTAGACTCGAGCACCCCCTCTATATCAATTGATTGCTCTCAGCACTCACCATGATTGACTCTTTGACCGCTTTATTTTATTGATCGTACTTTAATAATAAAAATCTAACGGTTGAAGAACAATACAAATTTTATTATAAATAATTACAATATTAAATTTTAAATTTAAAAATGTTGAAAATTAATCCATTGCCATTAAAAAAAATATTGTGGTCCATACAAAAATAATTTGTGGGCTATTTTTTATTTTATATGATTAAATGTTCATAAATATTTAATATTTCTTACTGTTCTTCTAGAGGAAGCAAATTGAGGGCATGGTGGAGATAGAGTGAGAGAGGGAGGGGCACACTTTAAATTCAATACATTCATCAATTTATTATAAATTATCCTGTTTTAGAAAAATTAAATTTAAACTAATTCATCTATAAATATGGGGGACTATTATATAAAAGAGTGTCAATCCCAAATATTTTACAAATAAAAATGTAAGTTATAATTAATTTTTAATATATTTTGGGTATAAATTCTCAAATTGTGATTTATTTTAAGTGTGCTTTATATTAACAATTGTCCAAACAAGGAGTCTGGCTTAAGAAGTGGTGAGTTTAGTCTAAACTAACTCAAGCTTAACTCATTACTCGACTAAGAACTCATTGATGAAGTTGGGTTCAAGCTAATCTTGTTATATCATTTCCATGCAAGGAGTTGCTTCCCCAGGCTGCGTCGAGTAACGA